TGGGGCGCACCCGCGGAGGAGCGGGCGAGAAGACAGTGGTTTGGGTGTTTTGGAAGCTCCCCGGGCTGCGGCCTGGTCGGGGAATCCGTGTTACTTCGTTCGTACCGGTGACGGGGAAAAACACACCTGCAGGTGCTCTCCGTGAGCGGAACCCGGCGGTGTGTGCGGAGCACGGACAGGCTGTGGGTCAGCCAGCCAGAGATTTGCCCTGGGTGAAATAGGGAATCACAGAATCCTAGGGGTCGGAAGGGTCCTCGAAAGATCATCCAGCTCAACCCCCCTGCCGGAGCAGGGTCACCCAGAGCACATCACACAGGAACACGTCCAGGTGGGTTTTGAATGTCTCCAGCGAAGGAGACTCCACAACCTCTCTGGGCAGCCTGTTCCAGGGCTCTGGAATTGGATTTGTTATCTTACCAGCCCATCAAAATGTTACAGGTGGCATGTCTGCCCTGCAGCTGCTGCTGCATGGAACTTCTGGGAAACAAAACAGGAATCTTTCAGGCACCTGTACATCACATTGCAACATTTGGTGTTGTGGGCAGGAATTTTCAGAAATCCAAAAGCATGTAAAACCCCCAAAATGCAATTAATGAACAATTTACACCGTGTCAGAAATGTAGCCATTTGATTATTTCTTACACTCTGCTTATAGATCTTATTCTTAATGAATGTTATTCTTACTGAATGACTCTTCTTTAGTTGGTTTTTCAGGAGAACTTGTGCTACCATCACAATGCCTGAAGTAAACACAGATCACCTGGATGAGCAGCAGGTGCAGCTCTTGGCAGAGATGTGCATCCTTATTGATGAAAATGATCGTAAGATTGGAGCAGATACCAAGAAGAACTGTCACTTGAATGAAAACATTGATAAAGGTACAGCTTGCTTACCTTCTAATGGAACCATGAAGTTGATTTAATACTTTCAGGAATATAGTCACAACTAAGTTAAAGCCTTAATCTCAGGTGGGTGTTGGTCAAACCAGACCAAGTACATCCCCATAACCCCTGTACCACAGCATACAATATCTAATTGCAAAAACACTGCAGTGTGGAGGAACACACTAGGGGCAGCAGCAAAGGAGAGAATTATGTCGTGAACATAAGGTCTATGTCTTGATAATATTTTTGCATCTCATTTTGATGATAAAATAGTATTATTTTCCTATCATAGATTCTGATTCTGTGTAGCTTTTTCTAAATACCACATGCTACTTTCCTGAGTTCTTTTCAAGTAGAAGAGCCTTTGATTTGTAAATAGTTCACACAGAGTTCTATTTCAAATACTGCTAACAGTTGTCATTCTCATTGACTGTGGGTAATAATTGAGGTTGGTTAGATTAATGAATCTCTCACAGTAGTTTTTGACCTTTTTCCATACTCAGGGGAAGCACCTTCCTGAAGAGTGTGGAATATAACAAACTCAGAAGTTTCAGAAAACAGCAATTCTGCCATTTTTTAAGAAGTTCATACTGTTGTAATTCTTGAAGCTTCTTGAAATACATACAGTATTTAGGGCTTTTCAAGTAATTGCTTCTCGATAGTAGATTTATGGATCCTGAGCCCTCCTTAGAAGCTTGCTCACATGTGCCTTTTCAGAATGGTGAACTGACAGAGTTTATTAGAGCTCTTCTGTTGCATTGTAGTTATTATCATTTTCCTAATTTCATAATGTTTTGTGTAAGTTGACAGAGAAACCTCGATAATAACTCTGAGGCTTTTTAATTAAATCCTTGGTTTTTAATCTGCATTAATTTTGAATTCAAGTTATCAAAAAACAAGGGCATTCTAAGCTCTTGGAACTCTGCTTTCATGTTTTTTTCTCCCCTTAAAGACCTCTCTGTGGATTTTTGTTCTCGTTTTAGGTTTACTGCACAGAGCTTTCAGTGTTTTCCTATTTAATACAGAAAATAAACTGTTGCTGCAGCAGAGGTCAAATGCAAAAATTACATTTCCAGGTTAGTACTGCAGTACATTGTATTTTTAAAAAATGCCTCTTTTAATAGTTATTTTTGAAATGTGCAGTCTGATTTTGCTGTGTAACTCAGTCTGAAGTTTTAGAATTTACTTCTTTGGAGAGGTGAGACTTTTTCAGATGGACTTACGGATGAAGTAAGATAATGGAAACACTAATTTTTTTTCTACATACACTTGGAAAATTATTTTTCCCTGACTTATTTATCATGTTTTTGCAAGTGCACAGTGTGTGTTGTTAACCTCTTCTGCTGCAAGGCCTACTTAATGGAGTTGAAGCAATTGCTTTGGTAGCTGTGGAGACTGTTCTCAGTCCACTGGTAGAGACAAGCAGTTCATGTAGAGTGGAGCCCTACTGCTTGGAAGCAGTTTCTCTGTGTTTTCCTTAGACCTACAGAACTCCAGCTGTGTGTGTGTTAAAAAATGCTTTTTTAGCAACAGAAAAAATGAGACTGTGTGGCCAAAGTGTATGGTGTATAATTTTTGAAGACTACTGAACTATTACTATGAAATGCAAATGGAGAGGCACAGAAATGACAAGTGGAATGAAAGAAAAGTAGCTTACATGGGACATGTTGGAGGAAGCATAAAGCTGTGTCAGATTTTCAGATGGAAAACAAAGTGTTTCTAACCTGTGGAAGAAAGACCTTTCTTTCCTTCCAAGGGTATCTTTAGGGCATTTTTCCCTTGACTACTAACTAATAAAAATGCTCAACTGTAGGTAACCTGACTGTTTTAGATGCTTTTAAGGTAGATTCTTAGGGATAAAAGGTTGGCAAATCACAGTTATTCTACATTACTGATAAGTAATTTTTAATGTACTGGAAGCAGAGAGCGTAGTCTGTTCTTCAAATACAAGCATAAACTGGTTTATTTACTTCTGCTTATTGTCAGCTGGTCTTGAAGCTCTGGGAGTATTTTCAATACTCTGTTGCATGGAAACTCTGAAAAGTAATTCTGATTAGTGCTTGCAGGATAAACAAGTGCTTTTGAAGCTGACTGTCTAAGCAGATGCTGTCTTGGGTATGAGAATGTGTGTGTTCATGTGGGTCACACCTTAACCTGCAAAGCAGTACTGGTGCAGACTAATCTTGGTGCAAAATATGGAAAGAAAAATGAGGTGAAAATATCCTGACTCTACAAAAGAGAAGTAAAACTGTGATGGGTTCAATAATTGTTCTGCCTCTCTGGGGTTTTTCGGTGTTGTTTTGGCTGGGGTTTTTTTTACAATGGTTTGTACATCAAAAATGTACTGATACAAACTTCTTGCAGATTGTTTTACCAACACTTGTTGCAGTCATCCTCTAAGCCATCCACTAGAACTGGAAGAAAACAATGCCATTGGCGTTCGGAGAGCTGCACAGAGGAGACTGAAAGCAGAGTTAGGCATTCCCATGGAGCAGGTAAAGGAGGGAAGAAGAAACAAGAATTCTTTCCACTGTTTGCCAATTTAGACTAACTGCATCTGGCAGATGGGGTCAGTCTGAAACCTAAAAATGAGTTTAACTTCGGAGATGTAGAGAACTTATTGATTTTGAGACTTCATCTGTATTCCAGCATTTCAGAACCTGGTATCACTAAATGGTTTTCTAGAATATTCCACTGCTCAAACTAAACATAAGCCAAAGAGTAAATCACACAGTGATAAAGAATTGTGTAGCTTCAGGCCTGACAGTGGGTGCCTGTGTGTTTTCCACCTCCTTGCCCAAGGGAAGGCAACCTGCCTCCAGGCTAGTGGCAGAGAGCTGTGCTCATCCTGTAGGACTGCTGCTCCCTGAGGGCATCTCTGTACAAAGTCCCTCTGTAATGCCAGGTTTTCCCCGGGAAGTAGGGTGGCCTGGACACTTGGCATTTCCTCCAGAGCAATAACACAGACTGCATTTCCTTTCTGGTGGCAGCTGGGGAGTTGACAGAGCAAGGTGAAGCTGGCTGAAGTATGCTAGTTTGTAAATAATTACATTTGTTTTATGGAACATGGGAGAAGCAGCATGCTCCTGGGTAACACAATGGTTAGGTTGTCCCCAGAATTGATCACCTGGTCTGCCACTTGCACAGATGCCTGGTAGGTAAAGGTTTTGTGTGGTCAACCAGTATGCAGTTCTAGCCTTGGCTTTAAGTAGCTGTCACATCTTCTGCTTGGGAAGTAAGAGGATGGTGTAAAGTTTTCATGTTCATCAGCACTTCATGAAGTGTGCATTAAGCTCTGGTAAATGCTACTTAAAACTTACTGTGTAGAAGATACCTGCTCAAAATCTTACAGGGTGACTCTGACCAGAGATGAGCTGTGCAACTCATGTCATCACAGTGGAATAGAATTTTTTCATAGTATTTCTTTGTGAAGAACTACATTGCAATTGTACGCTTGAGGGCAAAAGAATTTTTAAGGAAAAGGATCATAACTGACGATTCTTCTGTCATGTCTAGCATGTTCTGGTCTGGCACTGGTTCTGACAAGTGTTTTGGTTGTAGGTACCTCCAGAGGAAATCTCCTATCTGACACGAATTCACTACAAAGCCAAGTCTGATGGGATCTGGGGGGAACATGAGATAGACTATATCTTATTTGTACAGAAGGATGTAACACTGAATCCTGACCCTAATGAGATCCAAAGCTACTGCTACGTGACACAAAAAGAACTGAAACAGCTCTTGGACAAAGCCTCCAAGAATGAAGTTAAGATTACTCCATGGTTTAAACTCATTGCAGAAACCTTTCTTTTTAAGTGGTGGGATAACTTATCTAACTTGAACAAATTTGTTGATCATGAAAAAATACACAGAATGTAAATAGCCAGAGCAAAAGATGCTGAAGGCTGGCAGTGGTGTACTGTCTCATGAAGAGGATGGTAACTCATAAATTTTGAGTGCAAAAAGGTATCCACTTGGAGCAGGTTTTATAAAACTTTATACAGAGATGGTTGTAACATTTTTTCTTCTCTCTTCACCTAGGCTTCCCCCAACCCTATTCCTCTTGGGCAAGTCAGCTTGATCTCATGTAAAATGGGTGATGGTAACATAAGAAACCCCTGGGTTCATCTTTCTTTCTTACCATGTGTGATGTGTGTGCCCAGCTTAGAATTACTTCCTTGCCTAACTACACATATTAGCAGGAGAGTCTGGGTGCTTCAGTAGAGCTGGTACCTTCCCAGCTTCACATGACCATGCCTTCTAAAACAGGGATTACAATACTTGCCTGAAGAAAAAAAAAATTAATTCAAAGTAATCAGGATGATGTTAATTGCAGAAAGCAAATCTCTATCTTCTGTACTCTGTAATTAACCAATCTCATAAAAGCTTAAGTAATTGGATTGTCTGTGTGGTCTGAGTTTTACTTTGAAGTGCTGCACTATAGCTTTAGATAATAAACAACGGGGGGTCTGTTTGCATTTTTTCCCCCACTACCCTTTTCTCATTAGTTGATGAATGAGTACAGGAAATCTCTTAAAAAAAAAAAAGGAAAAAAAAATGGTTAATTACAGCAAATGTAAATGGTACCTGTGTACTACAGGAAGTAGGCTGTCTTTGGAGAAGGGATATGCATTAAATGACTCTCCTCCAACTTCCAGAAAACAAAGGTGTCTTGATACAAGCTTTTTTCCCCTGCAACATCTACTGTAACAGTAAACCCAGAAAACTCAAACCCCTTGAACTCCAAAATTCAGGATTGACAATTTATGGGCTTACACCAGGTCTAAATTTCAGTTAATCAGAAATGGTACCAGAGTGCAAGAGCTAATCCTTTTTGATCTTGCAGTCAGTTTCTAGTAACAAGACTAAAAACGGAAGGCCTTTTTTAATACTACAAATAACCAAAGGTATCTCAGTTTGAATTAAAGATTTTTTGTTTGAGGTATTTTTCCCCAAAAAAGCCTACTTGTGATTTCAGACAGCAGTTAGCAGACTACCCAGTTAATCTAGGATTCTTAAGTTAACTCTCCTAGAGGTGTCTTGATGAAATAAGATATTCATGCCAATTCTCCTTGCATGTAAACCATGGTTGTAACTAGTCTGTTTGGTTTTAAGGTGGAACTACATTTTTCCAGTAGTTAATATGTTTCTCATCCCAGTTGTGACAGCTGCACTGAAACTTCTAAGTGCTAGCATCTCTAGTGGTTCAACACAGAAAGGTTTTAGAACCAAGTTTGTTGTATGTTGACCTGAATTGATGTATTGTATTAAAGGATAACAGGTGAGGGAAAAGCAATGCAGTGTAACAGCTCTCCTGAATTCAATGCAGCCACTATAATGTACTTTTCAAATACTTTAAATGCTTTTAAAATAAAATATTATCTTAAAGATGATGATTAAAATACCTAACCTAAAATCTTGGACTGTTGTTTTCTTTCCAAACTTTGAGCCTCAGAGAATAACCTGTCATTCCTACACTATAAACAACATGCCTGTTAACTGTCACTGGAGCAGTACAAAGCAGGGCAGCATTGCATAGATTTCTTTTCACAAAGTTCTCTTTTTCAAATGGCCAACTTGGAGCAAGAGCTGACAAAGCATATCCAGAAGTACTGTCCATAAGGAAGCTGAAAGCAAAGTTTTGCTAAACAATTCTTCAAAATCCCTTTAAAGTTTTGATGCTGAAGTTTTTCTTGACATTGAACTTTGCAGCATTACAATGTTTTTAAAACGAAATTTATTACACAAAGTAGATGAGGGAAGCAATATGGGTTTACACATAATGCTCCAAAATGCTTAAGTGTACATCTGAACACTCTTCTTACCCTGTTGTATTGAAAAATAGTTCTAAAAAACAAATAATTTTTTTCCCTTTCCGTTTGTTTTTGGTTGCTTTTAACACAAGTATTTTATTAGGTTCCATTTTAATCTGTGCATTTTAAGGGTGCTGTTCAGGTAATATGTTTATAACGCATAATTTTACTAACCTCTAGATAATTCCTACCTTGTTCTTGACTAACTAGGGACATAAAGGGAATGTCACATTTGACTATATATTTTGCCTTGAACAGGTACAGGATTTTTTGTCTATCAGCTTCTGAAAAGAAAATCTTTCTAAGCAGAGGATGACAGAATAATTGACATGACTTCAGGGCAAAATTTCAGTCTGATCCTATTTTTCTGCATATCTGATATATTAATCTGAACTACTAAAAGTTTTAAGTTGTAGCCTTCCCAGTCCATACTGGTTTAGGTTACTACAGGTGGCAGGTCAGTACTAAAACTGCCATTATTCCTCCAGCTCCAGTCACCATTTAGCTGGGTGAGCGGGCAAGTGTTTGCCCAGTTCATTCAAAATTGATTCAGTGTGCGTGCACACTAACTTTGGGCAGTAATTGTCTGTCTCTTGTGTCTTTCCCACCAATTTCAGCCTTCACTTGCAACATAAACTCATCACTTCCTACACATCAAAGTATTAACTTGCATACAGAAAACCAAACCTTACTGATGCAGTACCTTACAAAGCTCTGTTTTTTTAATTCTGACAGTAGCTTAACAAATACTTCACTTACCTAGATTTAACCTCATTTTAAATCTAGTTTTACATAAAATTTTGTCTATTTAGAAATGGCCTCTGCCACTGGTATCATTACTTAGAACTGCAGGATGAAGGTATCAGAACTTTCTAAGCTTCAAGTATCTTAACCACTAACACAAAACAGGTTCTTTTTAAATCCTGTATTACTAAAAAGGAAGACAGGACTAGAAATTAAGTTTTCATAAACTTATTTTTAATTAATTTTAATTCAGAAGACTGCTTATCTTCTCTGTGTTTTACCAGATTTTCTCTTTCCAGCCAGCAGATGTTTGGGCTTCAAGTTAAATATGTGTCTGTCCGACTCTCCCTTCCTGCCCAGGCGATTCATTTTCTTTTGAGCTTTCTTCGCCATAATCTTGACCTTCTTCACCATCTATTTAAAAACAAACATACAAAATAACTTCCTCAGTAACTCAGATAACTAGCTTTACCTTTTAAAAAAATCCACTAAAATAGATCATTTTATCAAGGACATTAACAAACACCCAACATATGCCACCTTCTGTAACTAGCACAGTATCACTGCACATTACACTATTCCTCCTTAGTGAAACTCTTCAGTAACACTAACAGTATAATCACACTATCCCTGGAATTCCTACCGTACTAGAGGTTGAATTTCACAGTTTGGAGACCTCTTCCCTACTATTTGCATTTAGAGAAAAAAATGTAAAATGTACTTTCTTAATCTGTATTACTACATCTGATTTGTAAGAATGAACTAGGTGTTTCTGAAGTACAGACTTCGAGTGGACGGAAGATGAAGCTGCAAAGAGAAGAAACATGAATTCTGAACAAACTCAACCAGCCTAGTACGAACTTGCCCAGAGACTGGTTTAAGGACAATCATGTTGTTAATAAATAACAAACCTTTTCATCACGAAGACCAGAAACATCTCGGGGGGTGCGAGAGCAGCTGCGGCTGCGAGCCAGGGATGTAGGGGTTTCGGACTCGTCACGTTTACGTTTCCTTGTAACGCTCCGGGACCTTCTCACATAATGTGCCTGAAATTCAAAATATCACTATAATTATTAAAAAAAGAAACAATCATTTCAGACATGCTCTATTTCTAATGAGACTAATAGGGAAAAAAAAAATTGGACCTCTGTGATACATTATTTTGCTTATTCCATAGTAACACAAAGACCTTGCCAACTGTTGCCCACTGCCAATTCTGTCCTACAGTAATACTCAAATTTTGGTGAATATTGGCATATTCTTTTCACAATTACCAACTCCAGTTTTCTCATTTTTTTCTAAGTAGATTCATAAGTAATGGACAAAAAGACACGGACAATTAATGGATAGCAATACTAAAGCAATTTTGCAACATCAAAAGCAATGAAGAAACCTATCATGGTTAGTGTCCTGTTGACAGGAGAAAGCCCTAAGGAATTTCAGACATAAAGGTTCATCTTATAAGTAATAAATTCCTCCTTGCTGAGATTGCTCTTAAATCAACATGGCATGTCAGCTCTGAGAAGCCTAAATACTTGCTTCAGATGAGTAGTGTTCACATTCCCAAACTCCTTGTTTAGGAAAAGAATTTGAGGTCTCAAGATCTAACTAGCCATAATGCTACTGGATTTGCTGTATGAAAATGATTTTTTAAAATTTCATACAAAATGTAGTGTCTCCAGAAGGCAAATTATGTTTAACGTGCTTTTGCTGCCTTCTAAAGGTGCCAGTTGCCCTCAAAAACTTAAAATTACAACTCAAAAATTAATGAACTGTAAAAAGATAAGCCTGATGTGACATTATTATTTCTGACCTACTAATATCTCATGCAAGAAAGCAGACTTGAAAATTGAAAAGTATGTTTAGCCAAACACTGTTCTTGCATTCTATGCAAATTCTAAGAGTTCTAATAGAAAGCACTGCATATAAATAGGTATGATTCTTCCTAAATGAGTTCATTTTCTCAGCCTACCCAATATCTTTTGATCACGCCACTCAAAAATTCCAGTATCAACTGGCTCATCTGGGTTTCCTATTTTCAACAGAACCCACCTCTCGTGCCAACTGTACAACACATCTCAAATGTGCTCAAATAAATTGAGCATGTCATGGCATTGATCCCTTTTAGATAAACATTGTGTTTAATGAGCAAAAACTTACATCATCTTTATTAGTCATGTCAAGTCCAAGATCAGTCATTTCTTTCTCTAGCACCTTCCGCTGGACCTGTAAAATACAGTTAAGAAAACATCTTTTTCAAAAAAAGTAGGATTCTGGCTTATTTTTTGTCCTAATATACCACTATAAGCCCACTGCATTCACTACATATTTGACACATCCTACAAGGAAATGGTAAGTCATAACTTCACATTTCATTTATTACAACTCTTCAAGCACAAATCCTTCTTCACAAGACTTCAACATCCCATCATTCCCTAAATGTTTGCC